CCCCAAAACCCCAAAACCCCAAAACCCCAAAACCCCGTTTAATTTATAAAAATACAATAATTTGGATAAGTATTCGGAAAATATGGGTAAATTTGATAGTCCTAACACTCAAGGTAGCTATTCTCATGCTTAAAGCTCTTCTCAGTTGAGGTTTTCTGAAGTGATTATCAAACATAATTTTTAGATAAAAATTCAACGAGTACAAATCAGCCAAAATTGACACTAAACTTGATGAGAAGAGAGAGTAGGTCGTCCGAACCTCGAGCTCAAGATCAATTGTCCAAGAAGCCAAGCAAAAAGGCTGATTTTAAATTCACAGACCTGTTCTGTGCTATTGAAAATGCAGTCAACACAGCTGGTCCGCATAAGACAGTTTCCAGGCTGATCTCTGATGTTGAAAACACTGCTATAAAACCGACAAAAGCCTTCCCAGTTGCTAAGAAGATCAAGAGACATATTAAAGAGAAATATAAGAAAAATAAACATGTTGGCAAAGTCTTCAAGAAGATGTGCAAGCACTTTGACCATGTAAAGAAACAAAAATGTCGAGATAATCCTATACCTGCCAATGAGTTTGCTAATTTCTTAGGTGGAGTAAGTCTCAAATAGTTCATACTTTAGCTTATCTTTATGTCCAAAAGTATATTAATTCCCCATAAAAGGTCTATTGACCAAAACGACCAGTCGTGAGTAGAGTCAGCCTATAACGATTTTCCAAATTCCAAAGAGTGATTTCACTGCTATGGCCTAAATACCAGGAACTCTAATAATTCTGAGCGGGATAGCCTATCCAAAACATCTAAAATCAGTGATGCTCACCTAAATAATGCTTCGGCTCCCAATAGATTGACTACTAATAAGACAAAGGAGTCGGCTAGCAAGGAAAGGATCCTAGAAGAGCGGCTAAAAGAGTGTACTGAATGAGACGAAGAAATTGAAGGAGACTACTACGCCTGTAGTGAATGTGAAGGCTATTTTGTATGTCCTGACTGAGAAGAAGACACTGAACATGACCATGTCTTTTATAAAATTAGACAAGGAAGGAAATATAGAGTTGAAGGAGGTAGCTGAGGGCCTAAAGTTCCGATTACCAATTTTCCAGTCCCTGATTCTTTGGGAGTTAACTGTTCTGATTCAAAGATTGATGTTTCACAAGTTATGAGAAATTTTGATTTTAATAAATTTTCAAAGTCTACAGAAAGAGATGATGGGATGAGGAAAATTAAAAAGGCTTTACTAAGGCCTGCAGTAATATCCACCCCTGAAGGACCTTTGATTGGAAAAACTCAACAATATGTTATTGCTCAGTTTGAAATTCAAAATCAATCCAAGCATAAACTACCGAAAAAGTTGTATTTGAAGAAAACCTCTGATGATATCTGTGGATTTGCTACAATAGAAGGTAAGACTATTTATTAATGTTTAGACATTGATGCTTTGGGGCCAGGCGAAAGCAAGATAGTTCAGCTACCAATCCTTCTTCCAACAAAACTAGGGACATATAAGCTGACCTTCTCTTATTACACCCAGCATGGAAGAAAGCAGGGTACAGATTTGTATCTGACCATAATCTGAGAATCTTAATACTAATCTTCTCTTACTAAATTCCCAACACAAAGTCCATTTTCAGGTGAAATTTAATATTCAACACCTAGTTTTAATCTTGGGGTTTTGGGGTTTTGGGGTTTTGGGGTTTTGGGGTTTTGGGG